CCCCAAAACCCCAAAACCCCAAAACCCCAAAACCCCTTGCTATCAACTCACGATTGATTATAAATTATTAGCAAACTATGAAAAACAATGTAAGAGTCGTACTGAAAACATAGATAAATGGGATTGCAAAATCATCCTTTAAATTCTTCTGATGCTCCTTCTCCAGACATGATGTTACCCCAAAGCAAATACAAGGCAGACAGTTAAAATAAGGAATTTTTGCGGAAGAATTTACCTAATATTGGCATACAAAATAAGAGCTCAGATTCCTCAAAGAAGGGAGGCTCACAACACATAGTTCCAGAACTATGAGAAACAGAGAACGTCATTGCTCCCAGTAAATTACTTAGGAAGAGAAATATTGACGTCACAACTGGGATAAACGACAGATTGGATAAAAAGTAGGGCATTTTACTGCTATAATACTCTAATTTTATTGACCTGGAAGTTCTTTCTTCAAAAATCATCGCAAAATTAGTTAGAAGTATTTTACAATTTTTCTTTTGCTCAAATAATCGGTAAAAATCTCAAGCTCAGACTTAATAATTTGATAATTTCTTAGCTCCCTCCAACGGAATAATATTGGAAGATTGCTTTCACAAAAATAACACTATTAAAAATAAAAATCAATGCATTCAAACAATTATTTTATATTTTCACAGTTCTTGAATAAATCTGAACTATAATTACCCAATCCGAAGCATACTTCGCTTCTCCACGACCAGAACTATAAACAAACCAATCAGTCCATCCTATAATCTAAATTTGTCAATTATTTCCTCTAAAATATCATAACATTTATGTTCAAAAATATAAGCCTTGCTAATTTCATACCTAATCTGCTCTCCAAAGTATTTTTACAATCCCTTCTCTAGCCGTCCAGACCTCAAAGAAATGAAAGACAGATCTCGAAGCAAAGGAAACTCAGCAGAAGGTAAGCCTTGCTTCAGAAAATTAAAAGTTCCATCGAAAATATCTCATCGAAATAAAGTGGTTTAGTCTTTCTCTAGTCTAAGTTCTAAAATTGTCGAAAATATTCATAAGATTATAGACTTCTTCCAAGCCCAGAAAGCCTTTTTGAGATTTCAAGAGCTCAGTCATAGCTTTCACTACGACACTGGAAAATCAAGCGAGTAAGTTCTTTACAAGATTTTGTACATTGAATTACAATAACTTACTCTTAATTAGCCAAGTCCTTGTGGGAACAAGTAGCCACATTTTTGAAAAAAATAACGATAAACTATTCCCACCAGAGTAACCTTCTCAGCTTAATCACATAGAGAAATTACTCAGGATCATACCACAGCTCCTCGGACTCGGAAAAGATGAAAAAAGAAACATAATAAAAGAAGGAACCATAGAAAACAAAGTGCGTGCTCTTATAACATAATCTAAACTTTCCTCATTTCCCTGAAGATACTTTGCTTTTAATAAAACCACATTTAACCAACTTCTAAAATTGTGTTCTAGAAAATGCCAAAATTAAGAATCAAACCTCATCGCCTAAGGTACGGACATCCGGTTGATCATTTTAGATAAATATCCTCAATAAAAGCTGTTTCAGAAGGTCGATTACTCCACACAAAAGATTTGATGTAAGCCTTCAGTTCTTGAGGATACTTATTGTCTAATCTTCAGAATCTAGAACTTATTTTTCAGAAGGGAGAAAACTTGTAATCTAAATGATTCAAAGACAGCTATTAAACTGCTAAATTCATTGTGAACTATCTTCAATGAGGGAGCAAATCTAAAATATATCTGCTTTATCAACCGGAGAAATCAATTATATATTTTCTATCAATTTAGCCTCCTCTAAAAGGGGTTTTGGGGTTTTGGGGTTTTGGGGTTTTGGGG